TCATCCTGACTAGGGATATGAAACCCCATCTAATACGTGGGGTGTGATATTTAACTGACGACTCAGTCCCCACCAGAAACCACTCGGACTCTACTAGTACAAGGAATTGGGACATCGTTTCACAAGACTGCACGTGCAAGGTGGCATCTCTCACTGCGGGGCCAAGCTGGGAGATGGCCCAGGCCAGTCCTGCTGAGTGCGTGCAGCCCTCTTAGCATCCCAGGCCTGCAGACTCGTTTGGTTTCCTGGTTCACAGAGCCCCCCTTGTTAACTGGGTCTGGTTGCGGAGCCACAGTACCAGCATCTAAGCTTTGAGCTTTGCTGGCTGAGCCTTGGCATGAGGGGGTGGGGGTAGGTGGGATGCAGGGAGCTTCCTCTGACCCTGCTGGGCATGCAGGGTATGACATTAAGTGCTGCCAAATTTGCCCCACTTGATCTTCCTCCTCAGGCCCAGGGGACCCACTTCCTGGAAGTGTGGGGCAGGCAGCTCTAGAGTGAAAGGTGCAGACAACTTGATGGGAGGGAGCCTAAGATCTCCAAAGTCAGATACTGCCCACCAGGGTGGGGAACCTACCAGCTGGGAGCTGGATCTGGCCCTCAGGTTTGGGGCTCCCCTAGCATTGAGGAGCTTGTACTGGTGCTCCAGTACCCCCCACTAGCCTCCTGGAGGGCTGGAACAGTCTCCCAGCCTGGGCCCCCCAGGTGGTGAGAGGAATGTGGGGAGTGTCTTTCTGCTTCTCACTCAGGGGGTGTCTCGTGCTGTGTTGCTTCTCACTCATGTTCCCCCACTGACTCCTCTGTGGGTCAGCTGACCCGGCCCAGGGAAGGGTTCCCCATCCCTGCTCTACACCAAGTCTCGGGACACACCCTGCTGTGGGATGAGATGGACCTTGATTTTTTTCTTTGCCCCACGTGGGGACCACTAGCCACAATGACTTCCCCTTTCTTCCCCGGAGGGGGGAGATCTCTAATCCGTTTTAATCCTGTGGGGTTTGGCGGCCACGCAAAGGCCTGCGGAAGCAAAAGGTGCAGGGAAGAATTGGCCGGTCGCTTCGGGGATGCTGCTACTGTTGGCAACCGGCGCTCCACCGTGGAGCTGTTGCCATGGCAACTCCTCAGCACCAGCTCCTAGATGTACCAGGGTAATGAGGAGTCTGTCCCTGCCCCCTCCCCTTCGGCACGAGCACAAACAGGCCTGGGGGGAGGGGAGCGCTGGGGGGCACTCAGCCTCCACCCCTTGCAGCCGGGGCTGCGCTGGGCAGGGATGTCGGAGACCAGGAATTGGGGCCCTTGGTTCTGGAGGGACTGGCTGCAACTATTTTGGGATGGTGAGGGCATCAGTTGCCAAGCTTTGGAGGGCCCCTGGCAAAGCAAGAACTCGGAGGCCGGGGTATTTTGTTCCAGCCCATTTGTGCGGTGAAAGGGTGGGAGCCAGCCAGGCCAGCAACCAAACCTCCATCCGCAGGGCGGGGTAAACGAGCTGTGAGGTGCAGCTGGGCTCTGAGAAACTTGCATCCTCTGGAGCCAGGGCTGGACCCCTGCCTGTCCCATGCTGCTAGCAGCTCCCCGGAATGGGTGCTCAGCCAGTGTCAGGGCCAAGCCTGCAGCTGCTGGGGTTCTGCCTTCCCTTCCCGGAAGGGGCTGCTGAATCCCCGTGTCTTCAAGCCTGGGCCCAGCCGGTTTAGTGCAAACGTCACCTCGCCTGGGCCACTGGCTAAGGTCCAAGGGGGGCCTTAAAGGCAAGGGCTGGGTAGAGCCTGTGCTCAGTCAGCAGCCTTGTCCTGGAAGCACGTGCTCTGCAAAGTGGGGCTGGGCTGCACTAGAGTGAGATTCTGGGGTGGGGGTGGACTTGGCCCAGTGCAAGTACTGAACACAAGGCGGCGATCCCAGTGGGGCTGCTCTGGCACCATCCCCAAACAGGACCCAGTGAAATCTCTCCCCGGCCCTGACCTCTGCCGGTTGAACGGGCAGCGCTGCGACTCGCTGGAGGAGAACACGCCTGACGCACCTTCTCTTGTGCGGGGTGGGAGGGTCCCTCTGCCGGCCAGCTCTGCTCACGGGGCGCGCTCCCTCCCTGCATGCCTGGCTGCACGGTCTCCAGGACACAAATTAACATCCCAGCCAAGAGACTTAACAACCGGCCTGCGATTCCCACGGCCTGGTTCGGCCTCTGATCGTCACTGAAATCCATGGCCAAATGGCTGTGGCTTGGGCCGGGGTACTTAGTGGCTCTGTCACGTCTCTAGACAGAAGGCTGCAGGTTCGAGTCCCACCCTGGAACCAGGGGCTTGTAATTGGTGCTGGTGGCACTGAAGAGAAGCGCTCATTCTGGATGAGCAAGACAGAAGGCTGCAGGTTCGAGTCCCACCCTGGAACTGGGGGCTTGTAATTGGTGCTGGTGGCACTGAAGAGAAGCGCTCATTCTGGATGAGCATTTGGGGGGTGGTGGTGGTGGTGGTGATGTCTCAGCCTTAGCCTGGCACAAAGAACAGGATGTCCTGGGGAAGCCATGAACAGACCAGGATGAGGCAGGCATGGAGGGCAGAGTGGGGTGCAAAGCAGGTGTCTGTAAGGACACCAGCACATCGTGCCATTAGCAGAAGCTCGTCTGTCTCCTTTTGAACTAAAATATCCAATTTTCTTTATCATTTTTTCTTTTTTGAGCTTACAAGAGAACACCCGTGTCTTCCTGGCCAGCCATCTGCCATTCAATTAACAGCAATGAACGGCCCAGGCTGTGTGGGAGCATTGCTGAAAGCGACACAGATTCTTTCTTTGCCTACGCAGTCCCTGGCTTGCCAGCGTTTGGCTCCCCTCGACAGGGTTGTGGGAGAGTCAGGGGATGAGAGGCGCTGCTTGAGAGGAAGTGCCTTTAGAAAAGGGCTGCTGGATGCAGACGGGCAAATGTCAGAGCTGCCCCAACAGCACCCTTTGCAGCCCCAGTGTAACGTGCTTGCTGAATGTTGTGCCCCAACCAGCAGGGGGTGGTGATGCAAGTCTACTACTGCTACTTGTTTGTGGATTTACTCCTTTAGCTCCAGGGGTAGAAGTCTCTGGTTTAGACTCCTGTCTTGGGCACCATCCCTAATGTTGAGCTATGTCTGGGTTTGTTGTGCTGAGACAACCCTCTAGAGGTCTGTCCCTCTCCTCTTAGCGGGGGCTTGGCATCCATCGCTGGAATTCATTCCACAGGTTCCTCACTCAGGAATTCACCAGACAGTTAACACACTGCCCTTATTGCACCTGTCTTACAAAAAGCTCTTTCCAGGCACTTGTGCAAACTAACAATGTTCCACTCGGAGGGATAACAGCTGTTCTATAGATGGTGAAACTGAGGCACAAAGGCCAACCTGTCACTTGCCTGAGCTTGCAGAGAGATGCAGTGTCAGGCATCCTGCCACCTCCCCTCCTTGCTCTGACTCTTGTTCCCCTAACCGTGCCCTCTGGATCTAGTCCATTGACACCTGCTGCAAGAGGAAATAGCAGCTGAGCTTACAGGTGTGAGCTGGGTGGGGAGTGGTCAGGCTCAAATTGCTCCCTAGAGCAGTGGCGTGTTGCCAGCATGGTCCGGAGAGCATGGTCGGGCATTCCTAAATGTGGCCCGAGCGCAGGTCAGTTTGGCCAAGCTCTGTGACTTGGGGGGGGCGCTCAGGACTGCCACCGTGGATTGTTCAGAAATCACAAATTGGCTTATACCACCAGATTTTTTTCTCCTGCTAAACACGGGCTTCTGTTCCTCTGCCGCCTTGCTTCCCTGCCTCTTGGGCACTGCTCCAGGGATGCCTTTTCCTCTGCAGCTGTGAGTTAGAAACTCTTCCTAAACTTCCAAGCAGAGAGAGCTGTGACTTCAGGCACCTGGGCTGCAAACTCGCCCTCCAATATAGAGTCCCCTCCCCCCCCACCCCACCCCTTAGAAAACCGTGGGAGTAGCACATGGACACTGCTGACCATGTATCCTCGGTGGGGAACCTCATGGGTGAGACGGTTCCAAAAACGCTCCCCTCCTCTCCCTGCCCAGGGACCTGCCCCACTGCTCTCTTCCTCCATAGCATTTGGTGCTGTGTTTCCCCAGCACCCCCCCTCGTGCCTCCTAGCCATGCCCCAGCACAGTGACAAACTGGCCCTGTGGGAGGATCCCTGGAGACTTCCCTGCTCTGCAGATTGGCCAGGCAGCACCTTCCTGACTCCACCCCCAGCGGCCAGAGTGGGGGTGCTAGAGCACAGCATTGGGGTGCTCCCCCTGAGGAAGGGGGGAGGGGCGTCCTTGTCACTTGGTAGCCGGCTTGGCCCTCTTCAGCCGGGGAAAGCGGAAAAGGCTTCCCAGCGGCTGCTACGACTCCCCGGCAGCCAGATGTCTTCAGAACCCCACCTTGGGCAGGGGCTGGGGAATCCATCCAGGAGGCGCTGTGAACGGGACGGTTCTTAGGGGCCTCGCGGTTCCCGCAGGCGTGGAATGTTGAGCTGTCTCGGTGGTGCCTAAAGCCTGTCTTAGTGCCAGGGCCCGTGACGGGGGGAGGGGGGGGCATGACTGGCAGGCAGGGTCTCGGCAGGGGTCTCCCAAGGGGAAGACTGGATGAGTGAGCGGCACTCCTGGGCCTTCTCTCTAGGGCTCAGGGTGCCTTGGTCACAGACGCTGCTCCAGGTGTCTGGTCCAGGCCCAGCGAGGCACAATTTGTATGGCAGCATCCAAACCTCACAGCCCCCTGCCGTTCTGGGGGGCGGGGGGAGCAGGCAGGTATGCGCCAGGCTTTGATCTGTAGGAGAGGTGGCTAGCGAGTCCCATTATCCACCACTGGCTCTTCCAGCAGCACTTTCTCTCCTTTGGAGTGTGGCTAATAGCGATACTTGGTGTTTGACCATGTCAATGCTCTGTGCAAAGCATACCCAGCAGAACCTCCCATACACCCCCCCCGGCTGGTCAGTGTGACAGTGAACCCCCTTCCTTTTTGCAGAGGAGGCACAGGGGAAACTGAGGCACGGAGGTGGAGAGGCTTGTGGCACAGCTGGGAAGAGAGCCCACGAATTCCTGGCTCTTGGCCCTCTTCCCCGAGCGCTCCCAGTTCTTCCGCCTGCAGGAACTGTGCTGTTCTTTCCAGACTCCGCGATGGGGAAACACAACAGTAAGCTGGCCCCGGAAATGCTGGACGACCTGGTGCGGAGCACAGAGTTCAGCGAGCAAGAGCTGAAGCAGTGGTACAAGGGCTTCCTGAAGGACTGTCCCACTGGCATCCTCAACCTGGATGAATTCCAGCAGCTCTACATCAAGGTACAGAGGTGGGAGGATGGTCTGTTTGGGCGGGCGGGGAGCGGTGCTGAGCAAGCTGCTGTGCTGGAGCCGGGGGAGGGGAGAGTATAGCTGTTTAAAAAGCTGCCTTTGGTCATTAGCTGAGACCACTCACTGACCTGGGGAAGGCAAAGACCAGCTAGAGATCAAGAGCCACCTTGAACTTCCCCTTCACGGCTGGTGCTGTCTGTTCCCTGACCTCTCAGAAACGCCTTATGGCTGGGGTGAAGTTGGGCGTCTCCACTCGCTGCAGCTGGCACCACAACCCTCTGGCTTGTAGGGCACCTCTCTGCTAGCAGGGGCCTCGTCCTGGGGCCTCGAACCCCCGACCACGCTAGCAGCAAACTGGCTCTGGGGCTCTCTGGTGTAGCATGTTTGACTCTTCCTCCCACGTCCAAGGGCAAGATCTAAAACCACCTTTAGCTGCCCCCTCCCAGCAGGCTGAGACGGGCCCTGAATGTGTCTCCTGAAATGTGTGACTGTCCTGGTGTCTCTTCCACACCCCTGTCCCTGTAGTGAGAGCCATTGGCCATATTTAGTGTCAAATTGTCTAAAATGTAGACAAGCCTCTTTCTACAGGGGTGGGGGTAAAGACGTCCTCTGGAATTCTTGGTTCTGCCAGGCCTCCGGACTTGTGGCTAGAATACATAGGTCCACATTTTACTCCTCTCACCTCTAGCTATATTGAGCATCCATGTTTATTTAGAAAAGATACTGATTCTGTGTACAGTTGCTGCAAGGGAGCATGTGGGATTTACTCCGAGCCTGGCAGACCCTCTCCGCAGATCTGTCTGCTACCCTCTTCTCTCCCTGCAGTTTTTCCCGTACGGAGATGCTTCCAAATTTGCCCAGCATGCCTTCCGCACGTTTGACAAGAACGGCGACGGGACGATTGACTTCCGGGAGTTCATCTGCGCCCTGTCCGTCACCTCCAGGGGCAGCTTTGAGCAGAAGCTGAACTGGGCCTTCGAGATGTACGACCTCGATGGGGACGGGAAGATAACCCGCCTGGAGATGCTAGAAATAATCGAGGTACCGAATGCAGTGTCGCCTCTAAGGCAGCTGGGCCGGAGGGGCTGCAGCAGGCTGGTTTTGATGCCTAGCCCCGGGTGCTGATGGGAAGCTGGCGCACAAGCCCAAAGGACTAGAATAGAAGCCCCTCCCAAAAATGGTAGCTCGTGTTTTTTCCAAACTCAAGTGCCCCCAGCCTTAGGACAGTAATTCATCCCCTCGGCTGCTGCTGGTAAATCCGTGTTCCCTGCCTCTCACCTCCTTTCCACACTGCTCTGCCCTTCCTCTGTCCCTCCCAAGAACCGGGTCCTACAGAATCCTGACCCCCCTCGGACAGACTGGGCCCTGAAGGCAAGTGGGGCCCATCAGGTGTCCATGGCTGCAGAGCTCTGCACAGAAGTGGGACCGCCCCAGTGGGCCAGACCCTCCACTGCCCTTGCAGCAGGGAGAAGAGCTGGCTGCAGTGCTGCCTAGGGTGTAACTCTTGGGCACAGGTATTGCTTAGTGCTTGTGCACTGCAAAATAGCAGCATAACTAGGGCCTAATGAGGGGTGGTGCCAGTGCCCCCATACAATCCCATCTGCCCCCAATATGCCCTTGGGCAGCCTGCCCTGGCCTCCACCGCCATGTGTAGACAGGCCTCCACTGCTTAGTGCACAGCTCAGCCCCAGCTAGTCAGCCACAAACCATTAGGGGTGTGGTCCCATGCAGCTGCCCATGTCTCTACGCTGCGCTCCGGTGAGTGCAGCCCGCCCCCACCCCCAGCTAGACCCCACTAGCTCCAGGAACAGCAGGCGGGGCTGCAGCAGCTTGCCTGGGGCCAGGCGAGTAGGGGAGCAGGGCCCTGGGCTGGCAGGGCCTGCCCAGCCTCATGCTCTACCAGCGGAGCTCGCCAAGCTCTGGGCTGCAGAGACCTGGGTTAGCAACTGAGGACAAGGCCGGTTCTGGCTGTGCATGGTACCGGTGTGAGCTGGGCTAAAGGCCGCTGGGGCTACAGGGAGGCCTGCGGGGCAGGGCAGTTGCCCTGGGGCTCAGCAAATCATAAGGACCCAGG